GCACTCCAGTCTGGGTGCCAGAGTGGGACTCCAACTCAAAAAAAAAAAAAAAATTATTTATTGTAGAGATGAGGTCTAACCATGTTGCTCAGACTGGTCTCGAACCCCTGAACTCAGGTAATCCTCTCGCCTCCGGCTCCCAAAGTCCTGGGATTATAGGGGTGAGCCACCACACCCAGGTTAACCCCTACAAGGGCTTGTACTACCCTTGTTATAGCCCAGACTTCTTACCTTAGTTTACACGCACATGTGTAATCTTACGCTTTGCAACCTTAATCTCATCTCTACCACTCCTATCCTAGGCTCTAGTCATACTTCCTTTTTTGAATGTGGCAAGTTCATTCCCATCTTTGTTTGTTTTTTGTTGGCTTTTCAGAATATTTCCTTTACCTGGAATGTTCTTTTTGTCACTTAAGCTTCTTTTTGTCACTTAAATTTAAATGTCACTCCTCCCTGGGCTTGAGGGGTCACGCCTCTAATCCCAGCACTTTGGGAGGCCGGGTAAAGAGGACTGCTTGAGCCCAGGAGTTCTAGACCAGCCTGGGCAACAAAAAAATAAAACATTAGTCAGGCATGGTGGCATGTGCCTGTAGCTCCAGCTACTTGGGAGGCCAAGGCAGAAGGACTACCTGAACTCACGAGGTCAAGGCTGCCGTGGGCCATGATTGTGCCCATGCACTCCAGCCTAGGCAACAGAGTGAGACCCTGACTCAAAAAGGAAAAAAAACAAGAAACAGAATAAATGTCACTCTTCTGAGAGATTATTACTGATCACCAAGCCTAAAGCAGCTACCACACCTCGCTAATTGTATCCCTTTCTTTTAATCCTCTGTCTGCCATTAGTACCATCTGATTGGTTCACTTTACTTATTTACTCTCTCGTCTGTTTTGTTCAGAGCTCTATCTTTAGTATCTAGAACAGTGCCTGGTATGCAGTTGACATTATTTTATTTTATTTTATTTTGAGTTGGAGTCTCACTCCGTCGCCCAGACTGGAAGGCAGTGGCCGCCCCCAGCCACCGCAGTGTCGACCTGCTGGGCTCCGGCGATCCTTCCGCCTCAGCCTCCCGAGTAGCTGGAACTACAGGCGTGCGCTACCACACCCGGCTAGTTTTTGATTTATTGTAGAGATGAGGTCTCGCCAAGTTGCCCGGGCGGGTCTCGAACCTGCGGGCTCAGACAATCCACTCACCTCAACCTCCCAAAGACGCAGGATTACAGGCTGAGCCCCCAAGCCCGGCTGCAGTGGACATTATTAACTTTGTCGGGACAGGGAACATTGAGTAGTTCACTGAAGAGAAAAATAAACTTTTAATTGTTATTAAGGAGAAGGCGATCCATGATGGTTATGCTAATTAAGCAATGAAAACTAGCAGTGTAATATAAATCAGAATTATGAGGCCAGGCTCGGTGGCTCAGCCTGTAATCCCAGCACTCTGGGAGGCTGAGGCGAGTAGATTGCCTTAGCCTGTGGGTTCGAGATCAGCCCAGGAAACTTGGTGAGACCTCGTGTCTACAGTACATCAAAAAAATTACCTGGTGTGGTAGCGTATGCCTGTAGTTCCAGCTACCTGGAAGGTTGAGGTGGAAGGATCGCCAGAGCCCAGCAGGTTGACGCTGGGGTGGCCACGAGTGTGCCACTGCACTCCAACCTGGGTGACGAAGCGAGATGCCAACTCAAAAAAAAAATTATGAGTAATGTATATAGTTAGCAGGATCTCCCAGTTGACACTCTCTGCACTACTGACATCGTGCTAGATAACTCTTTGTGTGTATGGTGGGGTGGTGAGGGGGTGACCTGTGCATTGCAAGGTGTTTCACGGCACCTCTAGTCTTCTACCCACTAGATGCCAGGAGCACTGTCCCAGTTATGATAACCCAAAGTGTCTCCAGACATTGCCAGTGTGACCTGTGGCATAAAATGTTCCTTAGCTGAGAACTACTTGATTAAAAGAATTCCAGCCGGGCATGGTGGCTCGAGCCTGTAATCCTCGAGCTGGTCGAGGTTTAGAGGATTGCCTGAGCCCAGGGAGTAGAGACTAGCCTGGGCAACTTGACGAGATCTCATCTCTACAAAAATTAAAAAGGAAGAAAGAAAGAAATGAATGAATGAATAAATAAATAAGTGTGCCACTGCACTCCAGCCTGGGCAACAGAGTGACACTCGATCTGACTCAAAAAAAAAAAACAACCTGGGGAAGATGTGGATCAACAGAAACTCCTGCTCATTGCCAAAAGAAATGTAAAATGGTACAGTAGCTTTGGAAAAGATTTTGGGAGAGTTTTACAAAAGTAAACATATTCTTATTATATGATTCAGCGATTTTACTCCTTGGTATTTACCCAAATGAGTTTAAAGCTTGGGTCCAGCTGGGCACGGTGGCTCACGCCTATAATCCCAGCACTTGGGGAGAATGAGGTGAGAGGATTGCCTGAGCCCACAGGTTCAAGACCAACCTGGGCAATATGACAAGACCTTAGCTGTACAATAAATCAAGAAAAATTAGCCGGGCTGGTGGCATGAGCCTGTGGTTTTAGCAATTTGGAAGGCTGAGGCGGAAGGATCGTCTGAGCCCAGCAGGTCAACGCTGTGGTGGCAGTGAGCGTGTCGCACTCCAGCCTGGGCAACAGAGTGAGACTCCGGTTCAAAAATATATATTTAACTGAAACAAGCCATTCTGAAAAGACTATAAACTGCATGATTTCAACTCTGTGACCTTCCGAAAGAGGCAAAACTACGGAGAAACTAAAAAACACCAATGGTTGCCAGGGATTTAGAAAAAGGATGGGCTGAATAGGTGAAGCACAGGGATATTCAGAATAGTAAAACGATTGTTTTTTTGTTTTGTCTTGTTTTGGTTTTTTGAGTTGGAGTCTCACTCTGTCGCCCAGACTGGAGGGCAGTGGCCGCTCCTGGCCACCGCAGCCTCGACCCGCTGGGCTCCGGCGATCCTTCCGCCTCAGCCTTCCCAGTAGCCAGAATTACAGGCATGCACTACCACGCCCGGCTGATTTTTTGATTCATTGTAGAGATGAGGTCTCGCTGCCCAGGCGGGGCTCAAACCCGCGGGCTCAGGCCATCCACTCACCTCAGCCTCCCAAAGGCGCGGGATGACAGGCTGAGCCACCGAGCCCGGCTATAGGTGACATTCTTAAGGGACAGTCCATGTGGAAACGACACGGATTCGCCCATTCTCTTCCCCTGGAAAAAAATAAAAACAAAAACAAACAAACAACACAATTCAGTCCCCCCCCACCCCCCCGCCCCTGCGCTACTAATTTGTGAAACGGGCAAAGCCATCTACCTCCACCCCAGCTGAAATGATCAAATGAAAGAATATCTATCAAGGCCTTTCATTAATTCTGTTATGGTGGCCACTGTAGAAGAGGAAAGTCTAACTGTAGGTTGGACTGGAGCCCATATTGCTTTTCACACTTTAAAACTGTGATCGCCCCCCTGTCCCATTGTATTTTTTGCTTTAAAGCTGCGGGGTGCAATTCAGGGTCAGGTCTACAGATGTTCATTATGCAGGCGCCCCTGTTGATGAGGAGTGCCCCCCGCCCCAGTGTCCCCTTCTAAGGGCCACAGCGCCCGCCTCCTCGGCAGGTTCCAGCCGCGTGCACCCTCCCCGCCTTCCTCGCCTTGCCAGGGGGCGGCGCATGCGCAACTCTCTGGGGGGGGGGCGGCCGCTGTCGAGAGCGCAGGCGCGGAGCCCGACCACGTGAGCGCTCTTGCCCCGCCCCTTCTCGAACGCCGTCGCGGGATCGCCCTGGAAACGCATTCTCCGGGAACCCGCGTCCGCCAATGGGGAGGCACCGAGTGCCACGAATAGGCCAATCGGGAGGGAGCGGCTCGGGGTTTAAACCCGCGACGGCCCGGCTCCTCCCGGCGTGCTGCGGAGGAACGGCTGTTGGCCCTGGGGGCTTCAGGCCGTCGGCTGGTCGGGCCTCCGGTGTTCTGCTTCGCCCCGCCGAGCTGTTGCCTCGGGAAGAGGAAGCCATGGCGCTCCGGGTCACCAGGGTGAGCTGCTGCGGGCGGCGCGCCCACGCGGCCGTGGCTGCTGCGGGAGCCCCCCGGGCGGGCGGGGACGCCCCGCAGGGACTTGGGGAGGGGGTCGCCTGGAGGTCACCAGGGTGGGCCTTGGCTTGGTGGGGCGGGGGGTGTTAGAGGATGGTGAACGCAGGGAGGAAGGTGAGGGTGAGAACGGGACGGGTCTTGGGTAGATGTGGGGGGGAAGTGGAGGATCGACTGGAAAGCTTTTTAGGACGAGATGGAGACCCCCAGCAATCCGTGACCCCTTCCCAGCGAGAAGGGGTCGGCAGTCGGCGGCTTTTCGGTTTCCATTTCCATCTTAAATGTAAATTCGCGGTGTGTTAGGGTTGCCCGAGACTTCGCAGGAAATCCCTCCGGAGTGAACGAAGAGATTGAGTGGAAGGAACCCCCTTGATTCTGCGGGCTTCCCTTGTGGGAGCCTCTCCTGGGCCCCACCTAAATCAACTCGAGTTCCTCGAGCCTCCTCGGAGCAACTCTTAATGCGTCTCACTTCTTTCAGAACACGAAAATCAATGCTGAAAATAAGGCGCAGGTCAATATGGCAGGCGCAAAGCGTGTGCCCATGGCGGCGGCTGCAGCCTCCAAGCCGGGGCTGAGGCCAAGGACAGCTCTTGGAGACATTGGCAACAAAGTCAGTGAACAGCTACCGGCCAAAATGCCTCTGAAGAAGGTAACCAACGGTCTTTCTGGTCTAACTTCTCTGTAAGAGCCCATCTTCCCACCGTGACCCTTGATGCAGCAACATTCCATTCTGTTTCATCTACAGGAAGTAAAAACTTCGGCTACTGGAAAAGTTATGGCTAAAAAACTACCAAAGCCTCTGGAGAAGCTGCCGGTGTCGGTGCCGGTGCCGGTGCCCGAGCCCGAGCCAGAGCCAGAGCCTGAGCCAGAATCTGAGCCTGTTAAAGAAGAAAAGCTTTCACCTGAGCCTATTCTGGTAAACTTATTCTTACCGTTTTGGTTGTTTTCTTTTCACTGATGCTATAACAGCTTTTGAATTAATAGTAAAAATAACATTTATCGAGTGCTTAGCATGAGGCAGGCTCTGCTTTGCATTAATGCACATGACCCTAAGGTAGGTATTCTTACCCCTGCTTTTGACATAATGGCTTTAAAAAGGAAATTGTAGTCGCATCAGAACTCGTGTACCCCGGAGAGAAGCAGGTACTGTTTTGAAGTAAAGACTGAATTGTCGGTTGTTTTTGTTTTTGGATTCGGAGTCGGAGTCTCACTCTGCTGGGCTCTGGCGATCCTTCCACCTCAGCCTTCCAAGTAGCTGGAACCACAGGCATTTGCCACCATGCCCGGCTAGTTTTTGAGATTTATTGTAGATGAGGTCTCACCAAGTTGCCCAGGCTGGCCTCAAACCCCAGGGCTCAGGCAGTCTCTTCACCTCAGCCTCCTAAAGTGCTGGGATTACAGACTGAGCCACCAGGCCAAACCGACATTTCACTTTTTTTAATTGAGCAGTTAAATTGGATCACTTTTGATATTAATCACTTCCTGAAAAGAAGTCTGAAAAGATACTTTCTCCTTTACGGAGCATGGTTTCTTGAGTTGGTACAAATAATAGAAACTTCATTCCCAAACTATCATTGGTTCCCCTCTTTGCTGTTGTTTCAAGAGATCTTTGTGTTTCCAGGTTGATACTCCTTCTCCAAGCCCAATGGAAACATCTGGATGTGCCCCTGCAGAAGAGTATCTGTGTCAGGCTTTCTCAGATGTAATTCTTGCAGTGAGTGATGTGGATGCAGAAGATGGAGCTGATCCAAACCTTTGCAGTGAATATGTGAAAGATATTTATGCTTATCTGAGACAGCTTGAGGTGAGTATTAGCCTTGGAGTCTTTTCTTTAACTACATCTAACTTTATTAAAGGTATTTCTATCAGCTGTTTACAATAACTCAAGCAGAATGTGGGCAGCATTTCTTAACAATAGATTGTGCTTTTGAAATTTATTTTTAGGGCAGCCCCCTTGGGTTCCCTCTCACTGTGGGAGCTTTTCTGTCTTCTCAATAAATCCTGCTTTCTCACTTTAAAAAAATTACTTTTATTTTTTTGAGTGGAGTCTCATTCTGTCGCCCAGGCTGGAGTGCAGAGGCACAATCATGGCTACCTCAGCCTTGAACTACTGGGCTCAGTAGATCCTTCTGCCTCAGCCGTCCAAGTAGCTGGAACTACAGGTGCACACTACCATGTCTGGCTAATTTTTTGATATATTGTAGACAAAAGCTCTAAGTTGCCCAGGCTGGTCTCGAACCCCTGGGTTCAGGCAATCCTCTCACCGCCACCTCCCAAAGTGCTGGGATTACAGGCTTGAGCCACCAAGCCTGGCCTCCTCTGTGATTTTTAGCTATGTTGGTGTTAGGAGTTGTAGACAGGAGTGTGATGACAAATGGGTTCCAGCTGGTATTTTTCTCTTTATCATGAAGCTCTGGTTCTAAGTTTTAGAGGCTTAAGTGAAAGCATCTGTGATGATAGGATGGCATTTTTATTTGCAGGGAAGTAGGTGCAGGGTGTGGGCCAGCAACAGTTGTGGTGAATTGAACATTGCAAGATCTGACAATATGAAAAACCTGTCATGCTACCCTATCTAATGTTTTCTTAGTGATGGTGCTGTTTCTACTGACCGTATGACTAATTGAGAACTGTTAAGAGATTCTAAATGCCCCAGGGCTGTTCTGCCGTAACTCATCTTTCTGGACATAAATGTCACATGGAGTCTTGCTTCTAAGAATAATCTGCATTTTCTTTTGCAGGAAGAGCAATCAGTCAGACCAAAATACCTACTGGGTCAGGAAGTCACTGGAAACATGAGAGCCATCCTAATTGACTGGCTAGTTCAGGTTCAAATGAAATTCAGGTTGCTGCAGGAGACCATGTACATGACTGTTTCCGTTATTGATCGCTTCATGCAGGTGAGCATAGTTCAGTAACTGAAGGTTACATAGTTCAGTATTTTCAGAGTCCTAGCTGTGTCATTAGAAATAGGACTTTTAGCCGGGCTCGGTGGCTCAGCCTGTAATCCCACGCCTTGGGAAGCTGAGGTGAGTGGATTGCCTGAGCCCGTGGGTGCGAGACCTCATCTCTACAATAAATCAAAAAATCAGCTGGGTGTGGTAGTGCATGCCTGTAATTCAGGCTACTCGGAAGGCTGAGGCGGAAGGATCGCTGGAGCCCATCAGGCGAGGCTGCGGTGGCCGAGAGTGGGCGACAGAGTGAGACTCCAACTCAAAAAGAAATAGGACTTTTTCAACTAGACTATCTTAAGGGATAGGGTGTCATTAAGTAAGATTTTGCAGCTGGGTGGCTCACAACTGTAATCCCAACACTTTGAGAGGCCAAGGCAGAAGAATTGCTTGAGCCCAGGATTTCGAGACCAGCCTAGGCAACAACAAGACCTTCTCTGTAGAAAAAAATTTCAAAAGCTGGATGTGGTGGCATAAGCTTGTCATCACAGCTAACTCGGGGGGATGAGGAGGGAGGATCACCTGGGTCCAGGAGGTTGAAATTGTAGTGAGCTGTGATTGTGCCACTGTACTCCAGACTGGGTGACAAAGACACTGACTCAAAAAAAAAATTTTTGCTATGAGACAGTGTCTTTCCCACCTTCATGGTTCGTCCTTTTTTCAAATGCACATTATTTAATTCATCCAGTTGAAATTCCCATTGCAGAATAATCGTGTGCCCAAGAAGATGCTGCAGCTGGTTGGTATCACTGCCATGTTTATTGCAAGCAAATATGAAGAAATGTATCCTCCAGAAATTGGTGACTTTGCTTTCGTGACTGACAACACTTACACTAAGCACCAAATCAGACAGATGGAAGTGAAGATTCTAAAAGCTTTAAACTTTGGTCTGGGTCGGCCTCTACCCCTACACTTCCTTCGGAGAGCATCTAAGATTGGAGAGGTACAGGTTTCTTGGAAAATGTTTACATTAGTTACATTAGGAAATAGAGCCATAGACCAAGCAGGTCTAATTCAACTGACCCATGTCAGATACCTAACTGCATGGAGAAGAGACAAAGATGTTCTTTATTTCTAGTCAGGCTGCATATGCTATTACCATTAGGACCTTCCATGGGTAATTGCATTTGAGAGTTTGTAGACAAACGCTTATAGTTACAGGTATGGGTGTACAGGTCAATGCCACTGTAAAATTCTCTGAAAGATGCTCAGTCAAATGTGGGTTTTGTTCCAGGTTGATGTCGAGCAACATACTTTGGCCAAATACCTGATGGAACTGACTATGTTGGACTATGATATGGTGCACTTTCCTCCTTCTCAAGTTGCAGCGGGAGCTTTTTGCTTAGCACTGAAAATTCTGGATAATGGTGAATGGGTAAGCTCTGTCCCACAGACGAGCCAAGCTAAATGGTATTTGATTGAACACAGAACTTTTGTCATTACAGGGCAATTCAAATGGTACCAAAGGAGTGATTTAAGATGATATCTCATTTGTGATATCTTCATCGAATGCTTACATTTCCTTGCTTAATTTCATCTTTATTCCCTTCTGAGAAAGGCAGGGAAGCTATTATTCCTTACAGATGAAAAAACTCAAGCAGGTCAAATGACATCCTATGAGTTTATTCATATTCATTTAACACATACTTGTCCTAAGTGCCAGGCACTACCCAAGTCAGTGATTACAGTAGAATAAAGCTGGGCTTGGTGGTTCCCACCTAGTTTCCCAACACTTTGGGAGGCCAAGGTGGAAGGATCGCTTGAGGCCGGGAATTCAAGACCAGCCTGGGCAACATAGCAAGACCTCATCGCATCTAAAAATAAAAATAAATTTAGGCCAGGCACTGGTGGCTCAAGCCTCTTGGGAGGCCAAGGTGAGAGGATTACCTGAGCCTGTGGGTTCGAGACCAGCCTGGGCAACGTGGTAAGACTTTATCGCAACAATAAATCAAAAATTAGTTGGGCTGAGTATGGTGGGACATGCCTGTAGCCCCAGGAGACTACTGAGGTGGAAGAATCAACTGAGTCCAGGAGGTTGAGGCTGCAGTGAGCTGTTATCATGCCCCCGCACTCCAGCTTGCACACACACACACACACACACACACACCCCCCACCCCCCCAACAATCATACAATTAGGCTTAAACAAGGTTTCTCCAGAAGCATGAAAGAGTACTTGGAGTCTTCAGCTTTGTCTTAAACTTTAATTAGTCGTACGTTACCTGTCCTTTTTCCTGCTATTGAATACCATCTATAGAGATTTTTATGAAAACTATTGTTGATAAGCAATTTCAGCGTTAACTTTTGTTGTCGTAGACCCCAACTCTACAGCATTACCTGACATACACCGAAGAATCCCTTCTTCCTGTTATGCAGCATCTGGCCAAGAATATAGTCATGGTAAATCGTGGACTTACAAAGCACGTGGTGAGTCAAGTTAGTGACATGTAACATACTAAAAAGTTCAGTCTTGTTGCCTGCAAATGCAGTTTATTTTTTAAGAAGCTCGTTTATTTGTTCACACTCATTATTTTAGTCTCAAGGAGTTGATGCTTTTATTTTATTTTTAGTAGGAGTCTCACTCTGATGTTCTAAATACATGTTTGTACCATTGGATCAAGTGATTTCTTTTTCCCCTTCTTTAATTGGTATGCTTTTCTCTTGCAGACTATCAAGAACAAGTATGCCACATCTAAGCATGCTAAGATCAGCACTCTAGCACAGCTGAACTCTGCAGTAGTTCACGAGTTGGCCAAGGCTGTGGCAAAGGTGTAACGTGTAAACTTGATTTGGAGTATTATATCTGCAAATAAAATGGGCACCATGTGCCGTCTGTACATAATAATGTTGCATTAACTCACTTTTAATAAAGTCTCTAGTCCTTTTTATTCGTCACGGCCTAACTCATTTGATTGTGGTTATTTCCTACTCTAGGCTGACCTAAATGTTACCTTACGAGATAAGATGGCAGCCGGGCTCAGTGGCTCAGCCTGTAATCCCAGCACTTTGGGAGGCTGAGGTGAGTGGATTGCCTGAGCCCACAGGTTCGAGACCAGCCTTGTCTCTACAATAAAAATACAAAAAATTAGCCGGCCACACCTGTGGTTCTGGCTACTTGGAAGGCTGAGGCAGAAGAATCGCTGGAACTCCGCAGGTGGACCTTGGGGTGGCTGTGGGCCTGCCACGGTACTCCAACCTAGGCAACAGAATGTGACTCCAATATTTTTAAGAACTACTTTCATTTTATTTGGGGACACCGCGGATATATATATAATTGTTGCCTCTGTTTATATGCTTGGTTATTGTTTTGTGTGCCTGGCTTCTTTATTAATGTGAATTATTGAGGTGGTCGAGGCAATTTTAGGCCTTTAATTCCATAAGACATACTGCATGGTAGCCAAGTCATCTTGGAATCTGCTGCCTCAAGGAGTTGATGCTTTGCTTTATTTTATTTTTAGTAGGAGTCTTACTCTGATGTTCTAAATAAATGTTTGTACCATTGGATCTTGTGATTTTTTTTTTTTCCCCTTTAATTGCTAAAAGTCAAATTCTACCGCCTTATCCCTAGTCTTCCTGTTTCTTCTGATTGCCGCCATGATCCTAAATGATTTACTTTTACCACTGTTTCTTGAGTTATTGACTTTAGTATTTTTCAGGCTTTCACTTTGAAAAATGAGAAACAATTTATATTTTAAACCCTGTTTTGTCTTAACGTTTTTGTGTATTGGTTAAGAAAAGAAAACAATGTTCAAGATGCAAAAGGTATCTTATTTAATTTTTTAAATCAGAGTCTCATTCTGTCTCCCAGGCACCGCAGTCTTGACCTGCTGGACTCAGGCAATCCTTCCACCTAGGCCTTCCAAGTAGCTGGAACTACAGGCACATGCCACCATGCCCAGCTAACTTTTTGGTTTATTGTAGAGATGAGGTCTCACCAAGTTGCTCAGGCTGGTGTCTAACCCCTGGACCCAGACAATCCTCTTGCCTCGGCTTCCCAAAGTTCTGGGATTATAGGCTTGAGCCACTGCGCCCAACTTTGTCCCACCGTTAAGCAGCACATGACTGCACTATATATATTCAACCATTTCCTTATTGACATTCAGACTGCTTTTTCTTTTTGCACCTACAGACAATGCTGGGGTTTGTTTTTTTCTTTCTCAATTGGAATCACTCTATCACCCAGGCTGGAGTGCCACCACAGCCTTTACCTGGATTCAGGTGATCCTTCTGCCTCAGCCTCCCAAGTAGCCAGAACTACAGGTGTGTGATACCACACCTGGCTACTTTTTAAAAATTTATTGTAGAGCTGCGGTCTTGCCAAGTTGTGGAGACTGGTCTCGAATCCCTAGGCTCAGGCAACCCTCTTGTCTCCGCCTCCCAAAGTGCTATGATGACGGGCATGAGCCACCACTCCCGGCCTGTTTATTTCTTTGAGACAAGGTCTCACTTGCCCTGACGAGTTCAGTGGTATGGTCATAGCCTTAACCTCCTGGGCTCAAGTGATCCTTCTACTTCAGCCTCCCTAGCAGCTGACACTACAGGCACATATGAACACACCTGGTTATTTTTTGTAGAGACGAGGTGTCTCTTGCCAAGACTGATTTTGATTTCCTGGTCTCAAGTGATCCTTTTGCGCTGGCCTCCCAAACTGATGATGCTGTTTCAATGACATACTACATGTATGCTGAATTCTCTAAAGAGTGTATGTGTCTTTGTTCTGAGAGGGAATCTCATTCTGTCACCCAGGGGTACGCTCGCAGCCCCCACAGCTTCGACCTGCTGGCCTCATGCGATCCACCTGAGCATTCCAAGTAGCTGGAACTACAGGTGCACACCACATACAGCTACGTTTTTATTTTTTGGAGAGACAAGGTTTTGCCAAGTTGGTGGTCTTGAACTCCTCAACTCAGGCAGTCCTCTTGCCTCCACCTCCCAAAGTGCTGGGATTACAGGCATGAGCCACTGTGCCTGGCTTCCTTTGAGATCTCGACTGTACATTATCTACTAACTTGGGGTGTACTGACATATCTTCCCATCTAGAAACTTCTCCATCAAACCTTGTTGCATGCCCTTCAATACAATGCTAGTTACATAATTCTAGCTGGGTATGGTGGCTCACACCTGTAGACCTAGCACTTTGGGAGGCAGAGACGAAAACATTACCTGAGCTCAGGGGTTCAACTCCAACCTGAACATGATGGTAAGATCTCGTCTCTACAATAAATGAAAAAATCAGGACGGGTGTGGTGGCTCACGCCCATAGACCCAGCACTTTGGAAGGCCAAGGTGAGAGGATTGCCTGAGCCCACAGGCTCGAGACCAGCCTGGACAACTTAGCAAGACCTCATCTCTACAGTAAATCTAAAAGTTAGCTGGGCATGGTGGCACATGCCTGTAGTTCCAGCTACTTGGAAAGCCGAGGCAGAAGGAACACGTGAGTCCAGCAGGCCGAGGCTGCAGTGGCCATGAGCGTGCCACTGCACTCCAACCTGGGCAACAAAGGAGAGTCTGACTAAAAAACAGAAGAGCTGGGCTTGGTGGCTCAGCCCATAATCCCGTGCCTTTGGGAGGCTGAGGTGAGTGGATGGCCTGAGCCCATGGGTTCAAGACCCACCCGGGCAACTTGGCGAGACCTCATCTCTACAATAAATCAAAAAATTAGCCAGGTGTGGTAGCACGCGCCCATAGTTCCAGCTACTTGGAAGGCTGAGGCCGGAGAACCGCCAGAGCCCAGCAGGTCGAGGCTGCGGTGACCAGGAGCGGCTACTGCCCTCCAGTCTGGGCAACAGAGTGAGACTCCAACTCAAAAAACAACAAACACAAACGCCAGGCTCAGTGACTCAGCCTGTAATCCCGCGTCTTTGGGAGGCTGAAGTGAGAGGATTGCTTGAGTCCGCGGGTTCAAGACCCGCCTGGGCAGCAAGACCTCATCTCTACAATAAATCAAAAAATCAGCCTGGCGTGGTAGCGCACGCCTGTAGTTCCAGCTATGTGAAAGGCTGAGGCGGAAGGATTGCTGGAGCCCAGCGGGTCGAGGCTGCGGTGACCGTGAGTGGCCACTGCCCTCCAGTCTGGGCAACAGTGAGACTCCAACTCAAAAAACAACAACAAAAAAAAAAAAACACACGAACGCCGGGCTCGGTGGCTCAGCCTGTAATCCCGCGCCTTTGGGAGGCTGAGGTGAGAGGATTGCTTGAGCCCGCGGGTTCGAGACCCGCCTGGGCAGCGAGACCTCATCTTTACAAAAAAAAAAAAAAAAAAAATCAGCCGGGCATGGTAGTGCATGCCTGTAACTCAGACTACTCGGAAGGCTGAGGCGGAAGGATAGCGGGAGCCCAGCAGGTCGAGGCTGCGGTGGCTGGGAGCGGCCGCTGCACTCCAGTCTGGGCCACAGAGTGAGACTCCAACTCAAAAAAAAAAGAATTCTCAATTCTAAGCTGGGCGTGGTGGCTCACGCCGATAACCCCAGCATTTTGGGAGGTGGAAGTGAGAGGGATGCCTGTGTCCGGGGGTTCAACGCCAGCCTGAGTAACTGCTGAGACCTCGTCTCTACAATAAGTAAAAAATTAGAGCCGGGCTCGGTGGCTCAACCTGTAATCCCAGCGCTTTGGGAGGCCGAGGTGAGTGGATTGCCTGAGGCTATGGGTTCGAGTCCCACCTGAGCAACTTGGCGAGATCTCATCTCTACAATAAGTCAAAAATGAGCCGGGCATGGTAGCGCGCACCTGTAATTCCAGC